TTTTTTCTTCTTGAGAAAATCACCCGCCCTTTATTCTGTAACTTTTGAAAAAATTTGTTCACCCGCCGATACCTTTTACACTAATTCATTAATCAACTTAATGGAGATTTTTATATTCCCTGTTTTTCTTTCTTTACGAGTTTTATCATATTCTCCTCCAATTTTCATTTATATATTGAGTATGAATCACATCAGTTGTAATGATCCTAAAAGCATTATGAGTGGAGTTGTGAAAGAAGAAGATGGTGAATTGGTAGCATCTGAAGGTAAATTTGGGAAGATGGAAGAACAAGAATATGGAAGAAAAAGGATCGAAAAATATCAATATTCATGATGATTATATCAATCGTAATGGATGATGTCTTGCATAATCTCGGCCTCTTGGATGTGTTTGTTTATTCAAAAAATAAAAATCAATATTTACTCAATTCATACATAAAAATTAACTTAATTTAAATTCAATTTTTAATATTATCAAAATAATTAAATATTAATAATTATTCATTCTTACTCATCACATCAACTTTAATTCATGTTGATCCAAGTCACGTAATTTTAACTAATTGTCACTTCACATTATCGCTCGCATACACATCAAATGACCTTTAATTATTTCATTTTAAATATTATGTTAATATAAACTCAAAATCTCGCTAACAACTGATTATATCATCTTTTTTAAAATTAATCATGATTAACCAAAAAACTCGTTTTGAGGAAGTATATTTGTATCCGAGCACGCCCTTGTCTTTCAATATTAATGGATCTTTTAATATTCATATTTTGAAGTTTTGTCTCACCTGATTAAGGCAGCAAATCGGTCTGATGTATTGAAAGGAATTAAAATCAGTGTCCATGCCCCTAAGCTTACTCATTTAATCTTTGAAGACAATACCCTCATTTTCTCTCAGGCTTTGAGCTATTTGAAGAACTTGTACAAAACAATTGTGAAGGCTTCAACACTTACACTTTTTTTGGGTCAAGATCTTCTAGGCTGTTTCACGTTTTCTTTAGATGGTGTAAGAATCGATTATTGTAAAATGATGAGCATATGGACCTTTTAAAACCTGATGGTACCCTTTGGCAGAAAGGTACCTTTTGGCAGTAGTCACCTTTTGACAGATAACGTTTGGAGAAAAGGTGTGACGTCTAGTTATTAATTACGTCCATCACATAATTAATATCAATCGTCCGAACTGTATGGATTAAAGATTAACAATATTTGTACTCCTTATAAATAGGAACATGTGGACTACTTTAAATTATCTTCTTTATACATAATACAAGATAATTGAAAAAATAAAATACTAACATTCTCCCACTTGGTCCATATGTTACTATATCCAAAACCATAGAATACAAGTTACACGAATCATTGCGATATATCCTAAATTGACTAGTATCTTCCATGTATTACAATGCACTTTGATCCACAAAAACTGCCTTTTTAACTTAATGAATAAACACAATGTTTATTCTAGGTCCAAACATAAATGATAATTCTCAAGATAAATGTGCACAAATTAAGTGAGAAAATATCGATAAAATTTTCAATATAACAAGTAAAAACAAATGTACATACAACCAATTGGTACATACTAGAACTGGGTCCCATTCGTGCTACATAATCCTTAAAATTCTTAGATGGCATGCCCTTAGCCAAAGGATCAGCAATCATTAATTCAATGGTAATGTGCTCAGTGACCGCTTTTTCTTCTTTCACACGTTCCCTCACGGCTAAGTACTTGATGTCGATGTGTTTACTAAGACTTCCACTTTTATTATTCTTAGCCATGAATACAACAGCTGAATTATAACAATATGGCCCCAATGGCTTAGATATAGAATCAACAACTCTAAGCCCAGATATGAAACTTGTTGTTATGTGATTTTTAACAACGATCTAATATGTTATTAAGATGAGAGTTATGAATGATTTGGACGTAAAGCATGTAAGATTAACTCAATAATGGCCCCGGTCCGAGGT